GAGAGGAAAGAGCGGGAAACTTAGAGGAACAACAGACCTTCCTGATACCAAGAAATGAGAAGGCCAAGTTAAAATCATCTGTTAGCTATCAGGGAAGTAGTCTCTTGGCACTCAAGGCCCTTGAAATCCAGAAAAAGTGAGACTAAACTCTTGGAGAGTCTTTGCTTGAGAAAATTAGCATTTGGCATCTTCTATGCTGGACTAGCAGATCGAACCCAGGATGTGGGTGAAGATCCTGCTACCTTCTAAATCAATGGTTCCCAAATTGTGGTCTGACCAGCAGCCTCAGCATCACCTGGGAACTTGCAAATTATTTTGGCCCCACCCCAGACCTACTGAATGGGAAATCTTAGGAGTGGGGCCCAGTAATCTGTGTTTTCACAGGCCCTCAGGTGATTCTGATGTTTCTCTCAAGTTAGAGAACCAGTGTTCTTAGGCATTGTGTAATGCCATGTGACAAATTTCTTAGAATGCTAAGTTAAGATATTGGTCTGTATTTAGTAAGAGAAGGCTTCCTGGAGTAGGAGAATTTGAAGTAGGATTTAGAGAGGCAGTGTGGTGAACCAGCAAGTGCACTGGATCAGGAGACTGGAGTTCTGGCCTCTGACTTAGTTTCCTTCTGTGTCATATGGGGATAATAAAGTCTGTCTTGATTATTCTACAGGTTGAATGTTTGTGTCCCTACAAAATTCATATGTTGAAAACCTAATGTCCAAGGTGATGGTATTAGGAGGTGAGGTCTTTGGGAGGTGATTAAATCATGAGGTCTGAGCTCTCATGAATGGGATTAGTGCCTTTATGAAAGAGACCCCAAACCCCCTCCACTATGTGAAGACACAGTAAGAAGGTGCCATCTATGAACCAGAAGGTGGACCCTCACCAAACACCAAATCTGCTGGTGCCTTGGTCTTGGACTTCCCAGCCTCTAGAACTGTGAGAAATAAATTTCTATTGTTTGTAAGCCACCCAGTCTATGGTATTTTGTTATAGAAGGCTGAATGGACTAAGACAGATTATCTCCTACACTTGTTGTGGGGAACAAATGTGTGCAATATACATTACCTTCTAAATGTGGGGCCTGTCACTGTTTTTGGTACCACACTGCCCTCAGGTGATGCTATTCAGCTTAGCTTCCCAAGCAATGTCAAGTTTGTGAACCAATTCTGCTGGCCTTCCATATTCTTAGGGCATGTGTTTTAAAGTGTCTACGGAAATCTTTTTGGAAATGCTTCAGCATGAATTTACAGTAGCTCTGGTTCATTTTTAAGCAACTTTGATTTATTTTGGAAATAAAGACCTACATCTCCAGGAGAATCTGTCTTCTTCCTTTAAATATTCAGTTCAAAACAGCTCAGAAAATCCTGAGAATTCGTTTTAGAATGTGTTAATATTCTCTTTATGAATATCGTGTTTCTTATTGAGTGCTATGCTGATTGTCAATTTATTGCCACTCAGCTCCAAAATCATCCTTCACTATATGTTCAGTGATAATGGACTGAATTCCTCTTATCATTTCTCCTTTAAAGTAAGCACAATGTTAAGCTTTTTCAGTAGAGAGCCCTGGAGAGGCACTGCAGGAGGAAGGGGCTCTCCTGCAGTTTCCAGCTACTGCATGGTGGGTGAGCAGAGTGGGTACAAAGGCATCCTGTAGGGTGCTTCCCAAGACACCTGCCCAGACATTTGGTGACCTTGCAGCCTCAGCCTGGCAATAACCTTTTCATGGCCCTCATAATATGGAAACTGGCGCTCCAAAGGCTTCCTGCCCTTCCTGGTGCCCATCTCTTCTGCAAACCCTTGCAGAGGTTAGTGTTAGTGTTTAGTAGCAACTGTGGTTAGCCCAGCTGCCACCCAGAGGTGTCCACTGAGCCCCACTCTCTCTGCAAGCCCCCACCTGAGGTCTGGAGGGTTGCTTCCAGCTTGTTCAGTGACTGCAGACAAGCTTGGGCCTGAACAAACCAGGGAACTTCTCTGCCACCCAAGGGGCTAAACTACACCTTCTCCAATGAAGTCTACACTCCAGCCTTGGGGACGGGTTACCCTTCCAAGTTTCTTCTTTCTTGGATATTCTTCTTCAGCCTTAGAGTTCCATGTAGAGTTTTCTTAGATCTTAGAGTTATTTTCCTATTACAGTTTAATAATTAAAGTTTGTCTGCTTAGTTCACTGTGTTGTTTCTCTTTCCTGATTGGACTTGAGTGGATACACATGCCTACTTTTGACTATACACAGGTATCTGAACTTTCTAAAGTTATTACTTGAATTTACTTTTGCTCATAAGTCTATGGCACAGAGTTGATCCACGTGTGGTGTAGCTCTTCCTTCAAGAGTTTGGATTTGATTCTTTGACAAAACTGTCCTCAGGAGTCGTTACCTACCCTACTTTTAATGCATTTGCTCCTCTCATTCACTGGGGCTTCCATTGTTTGGGGTGTAATTAAGAGGGGTGCTTTTAATAATTAAGTCAGGACAAATGTAAACTGGGACTGGCTCAGACAAACTTTCTGTTGATTTATTATTTTCTGTTTGTTCTGTGAAGGGCTCAACCCTGACTCTTCTGGACTCCTCCTGGGCCTGGCCTCTATTCTCAGGCCACACATATCTTTCCACTCCCATGTCCCACTCCCCAGACTCTCTTGTCCCTTTGATCTTCCTTTGTCTTCTATGCAGGAGCTTGGTTCCTGCTCTGAGATACAGTGATAGAAAAGGGTTTACCCTCTTCAAATTCTTTTACTTAACTCTGGCTGGAAATTCACAAGACTTGCATTTTTCTGTTACTGGTTTTACTGAACCATCCCTATGGGGTGCTTCCACATTTTTGTTTCCCTGGTTTTCACCCCGCAGACAAGCATCTTTGCTATTTTCTAGTGAAAAGCAGGATTATCTAGTAATGAGTCCTTCATCTTTCCTCCTCCTTGGCTCAAAGTGTGATTTTCTCTGCTCATCTTCATCTGCAGAAGAAATGCCTATCTTTGCTAAGCCAGAACATTCCATCTGGGCTTTTCTGGCATAGCTCAGTGTCTCACCATTCACAGTCTCCTTACCTTGGCCTTCTAGTGTTCACAGCCCGTTAAGTTTGAAAAACAAAAACAAAAAACCTGTTCGGACCCTGTTTTCCTTTTGAGGAACAATACTGTTTTCCCCCTTCACTGAAACCCTCTCCCACACATGATGGGTACATGGTGTTGCTGCTCCCTCACCATGCACCCTCACCTGCCATCTAACTTTTGCACCCTTGACTCTTTCTGCAGCTAATTGTTCCTGCCTGTGTTCAGACCCTCCTCTCCTCTCCCTTAG